CCCCAAGAAAAAAAAACTGAAAAAAAAAAATTGTTGTGTAGAATTGCAACACAAACAACTTTTGGCTGAGGGTCACATCAGAATTCCTCACGGAACAGAAGATAAAAACACAAATAACCAAATCACACTATCTAAGGCACCCACCTTAAACCCGTTTAGCCCCTTTAAAATTCATGTATAGTCCCTTTCCTCCCCCTTGACAGCCAACTCTCAAAAAATAGAAAAGAGCCCGTATTTGGGCTCCGCTTGGTGAGCACGGAAACCCCCCACCTTTCCTCCCCCTTGACAGCCAACTCTCAAAAAATAGAAAAGAGCCCGGAATTGGGCTCCGCTCGGTGAGCACGGAAAACCCCCACCGCCCGGGTATCCCAGGCGTCAGACTCCCCCGGGCATCACGCCCGGGTGACGGGCCGGTCATGAACATCTTCCACTTTTTTTTTCCCCCCCCCCCCCCCCCTTTTTTGAGTCCTTGGTCCGAGAGGTGGCGATGGTCGGAGTTGCATCTCAACCTGGCAAACGAGTTTCCTTCGGTACTTTATTCCACGTGATCTGATTTGGGGTGGGGGGGGAGTGAGCTTTCGGTTCCATGTGGATGGAAGACTTTCGAAGCTCTGCCCATGAGTTCCTGTCCATTTGATTATGGGCAAAGGCTACCCCCTGATCCACCCCCTCCCTGGGAATGAACTGGCAAGTGGGAAGAGGGCCGCATTCTATGTGGGAGGGACGGATATCATAGTGAGCAGCTTACGGTGCCATGTGGATGGAAGGCTTTTGAAGCTCTGTTCAAGTGTTCCTGTCCATGTGGTTATGGGCGAAGGCTTCCCCCTGATCCACCCCCTCCCCGGGAACGAACTGACAAATGGGAAGAAGGCCGCATTCTATGTGGGAGGGAGGTATATGATAGATATTGAATTCCGAGGGAAAAGCAACCGGTGGTGGAGAAATTCGATCGATAGATGAATGCAAAATTATGGAATCTTCAAAAAGGCAGGTTAAATAAGGAACTACCGTCTTCACCCGAATAACAACGCCTGGCCACTATGACTGTATTTGGGGGCAACTTTCCGTCCAGATACAGCGATAAATTGCCGATAATGACCGGGCGTTGTATTTGGGTGAAGACGGTAGTGATGGAGAAATTTCCGATCGAAGGATGAGTGTGAATGTAATGGATCGACAGGCAGATGGAGAAGGGGCCTTTCTTGGATTCTCTCTGCCACGTGGTACACCATCCCATGGCTGCGGTGGTTATAACTGCCAGTACCTACTGCATTCTTAGGCCCTCTCTGACACGGATGAATACAGCCCCGCGCGGCAGTCCGATTCAGCCACCCCGTGTTAATGGCCTAAGAACGTGGACGTACTGGTGGTTTAAGAAACTGGGTTCTTGAGGCTCAGGGCGCCAGTTCGAATCTGTGCAATGCACGGAGGAGGTCCAAGCCCTTGAAATAGTACTGACTGATTGCGTCTGTTTCTCTTGGACGCAACCTTGGGCGGTTGGGCAGGCTGTTCATCATCAAGATTTTTTTTTGTTCTGTTCATCTGATTGCATTTGGATTTGAATTTGGTTTTGGTTCTGTATATTTCAACAGTTCACGCGGGCATGTTGGTCGGCGCTCCCAATTTTATTTTTTATTTTTGTCTGGAGGTGGTTGTATTTTTGTTGAATCCGTTGGCAAATTGTGAACAGCGGGGCACGAGATTCAGTGCATTTGTTTGCCCTCACTGTGCTCCGCATTGTCATTCTAAACGTTCCTGGAGCTGGTACGTGTCACAGCACATTGATTTCTTTTTGTTCAATTAGTCAGAATGTATCTGGTCAGTGCGGCAGTCCAGATGTCGAAGGTGGAGTAGTGGACCCAACCCCTTAATATTGTTGCTTGCTTGTTCCACCCATGATGTCGATCAATCAACAGATGTGTATTGATTTTGTTGTCGTGTGCCGATGATACATGTGTCGTCGTCTGCAGATGGCACGAGCGCAGAGGAATGGCATCCTGACAGTTGTCGGCCTCGTTTGCTACTGGTACGTGCATGCGCCCCCCCTGTTTCTTGAATGAACTCCCCCGAGTAGTTGAATGAGGGGTGTGTACAGAAACTCCCATCTTCACCTGAATAGAATGACCTGCCATTTGATACGTATTAAAAAATAAAAGTGCTGTAAAAAAAAAAAAAAAAAAAGAATGACCCACCATTATAGCTGTAGCTGTACTTTGATACACCTATGATGCTTGGGCGTCCTGTTCGGGTGGAAGGCGGTAGGGCCGCCTTTTTTTGGCTTGATCTCTGGATGTCAGTTGAGGTCAGAAAAAATCTGTCAGATGCATCTGCAACTGGTCTTAATTGCAGACCGATACATCCAGAAAAGTCCCCTGTGTGAGTTTGCTCTGGAGTCTTGCAGGTTTCACCATTGCCGGAACCCTCCTCTGTTTTACCCCTCGATACTTGTGGAAATTAGAAAAAGGCACCAAGCCCTGCATCTGGAAGCCACTCGACGACTTTTGTTGGCAGCCTCGACTGAACTTCACTGCGTCAAAAGCTTTCAATCGAATGGAATCAGGTGGGAGTCCGATGTGTCCTTTGTTTTCTCCATTGTATAATTATTATTATTATTATTATTAAATTATGTTGTTTTTTTTTTGTGTGTGTGTGTGTTTGCGTGAGTGATTTGTAGTCGTGGACTCGGCGTGTATTCGTCGTGTCGAACGCTCTGTGATTGTTCCAAGCATCTGCCTTTTCTTTTCTTCTCTCGTTTTTTTTACCTCATGCTATCAAACCTACATACCTTGCGCTTTCTACCTACAGCTCTTAGGAAGCAAATGTGTTTATCTACCCTGCGTAGAGTGGATAGACAAATGTTTCCTTCCTAAGCCGAATTCCTGAACCCCCAGCGAGGGGTGGTTGGCCTGGGGCAAGGCCTCTCAGAGAGGCCAGGCGCCTACCGAGAGCGGCCAGGGTGGGCAAGCCAAGTATGTCAGCTGGTGCACACCAAGCACGCCGCAGGCGGCCGTGGGTGATTGAACCTATGACCTCCTGAACACCACTTGTGTGTGAAACGAACTGCGCTATGCCGCTTGCGTCTTCCTAACGTTTGGCAGATTTCTTTCCTTGTCACCTTGTCCTTCGTAATTCGTCAACATAGAGGCTCGCCACCATGAAGTGTTTCTTTCCCTCCTGCCTGATCTCCTGCCTGATGTGTGTGTGTGTGTGTGTGTGTGTGTATGTGCTGTCTCTTATACACATCTAGATGTGTATAAGAGACAGGATTATGCCCATCAATGGCCAGAAATGAAGGATCTTGTCCAGTGGGACTTGGCCCCAGGGGCCATGCTAATCTTCATTCATTCTCTGTATCGTTCCAAATTCGAATTAAAAAAAAATAAAAAAATTTGCGTAGGGGCCATGCTAATCTTCATTCATTCTCTGTATAATCGTTCCAAAGTCCAATTTTGAACGGATGTCCGTAAGGACGGCCGCTGTTTTCCATATCGCCAAAGGGCATCCGCTGGATACCTCCGACTGCAATCACGTCGAGAGCTGAGTCGGAAAAGTTCAGGGCCCCCCCCAAAAAAAAAAAAAAAAGTCCTTCCATCTTCCCCTGAATACAACGTACGGTAATGCATGCGCAATGACCGTACGTTGTATTCGGGGGGAAGAAGGTAGTGTGAGTATGCCCTAATGGCTTATCCACTCGACTCCGAATCTATTTTAGAAATGGATTTTGGATTTTGGATTTTGTCTCACGGAATCGCTAGACCCGGGCCATGAATCTTTTTTTTTTTCTTTTTCTTTTTTTTTTTCGGCCGTCTCAATCCCAGCCCATGTATCTGAACGGCGCACGCGTGTAAGAGTTGATGAACAGAATCCCCTGATGAAACAAGATGAATGCAAACATGTTAGGGGCTACCTCACCACCAAAAAAAAGGAGCAAAAGAGAAAAAAAAAATCACCACGACCCTGAAGCTGCTCCGCGTAGAGTGGACGGACATGTTCAATGTACCGACTGGCCTGCCTTGGGTCCAACTCGACTTTTTCCCGCCGTTATCGGGATCGGGATCCTGAAGCGCCTGCCTTGCTATCGCGAGCTGTCACGACTGGCCAGAGTATCCCGATCCCCATAACGGCGGGAAAAAGTAGTCGTGACCACGGACTGTCACGAAGGGCCGAAGTATCCCGTCCCGATAACGGCGGGAAAAAGTCGATTTAACCAAGGGGCCTAGCCCACCCAGTCGGGACACCCATGAGCTGTTGAAATACAGGCCCAAGTTTGAATCGGGATCGGGATGCAATCAGATTCTAAATTACCTGAGGGCCAGTCAGTTCAATGATTTTTTTTTCCCCCCCTCTTTTCTTTCAATGATGACGTCTCAAGGCCATCGCCCTTTTAAACAGAGGGAAAGAAGGGAAGGAGGATTTTTTTTCTTAAAAAAAAAAGAAAAAACAATACTCGTGGTATTTTTTGGAAAACATAAAAAATCACCACCGCTACTCCTGGTATTACCTTTTTTGAATTAAAGAATCCCAGGGGCGAGGTGCCACTAGCAAAAAGGAGTGGATTAAGCTTCTGAATCTGGATGGGTTTATGCACAGATGCAGAAGAACATATCAATCCCTCGTCCACATTCAGGTGCTGGATCCTTCCGTAGTGGGCGACGTCCATGGATAAGGACACACACTCTGTCCTGTGAATTATGAAGACGGACGGCAAACATGAAGAGAGACTGAGAACTGCCTGTGTGGCGATGCCTGAGTGTGGTGTTGTGTTTGTGTGGGTGTGAGTTGAAGGACACTACAGCCATGCAGGGGTGTGGTGGATGTCATGACCGGCATGGATCCACTTTTGTACACCCTGCCGTGGTTGTAGTGGTTTAAGAAAATCGGCTCTTGAGGCTGAGGTCGCCTGTTCGAATCCGTGCATCCATGCATGCATGCACGGAGGAGGTCCGAGGCTGATAAAAGTACAGACTCTGTCCGGGGGGAAAAAAAGAAAAGTTTAGAAAACAGAGTTCGGAGGAAAAAAGAACAGATAGTCTGCCCGCCCGTAGTTAAGGGACATCGGGAGCAGAAAGTAAGAAAAAATTACTCTGTCCGTAGAGAAAAAAAAAAAAAAAAAAAAAAGATAGGCGGTCTCTTGGATAGGAATGGGACACTGGACCAGAAGGCGCCTGGAAACCTCTAACCCTTAGTGGTTTCCAGTCGCCGCGTTGTCTGAGCCTAATCTGGGTAATGGCCCCAGTTTTCCGGGTCGAATTGTGAGGTCCTCGGCCTTGTTCCTATGTTTTTGTAATAAAATTGTCCCCCCTTCCCCCCTTCCCCCCCCCCCCTTCTCTGTCCATAAGTGGACGCGTTGTGTATTTCTTTGTAGATGCTTTTGTTGTTTTGTACGAGTTCTGTGACAGCTTTGCGGTGCAGGTGTTCAGGTCTCGCCAGGGCTTGGGCCGATAAGTGAGCTCCCGGTCTTTTGGGTAAGACTGAGGAACCCGGGGACGAGGTCCCTTTAGCGAAGAGGATTGGATTGAACGAGTGGATCTGGACGTGCTTGTGGAGAGGTGCAGAAAATTGCGATGGATCTGCTTCTCTGCATCTCTGCTTTCAACACATCCAGATTAAGGTGCTCAATCCTATCCTCGGTGCTGGTGGGACCTCGCCCCTGGGCCCAGCCCTGGTAACCGAAATTGGGTAGTGCTTCCAGTATTTTCGGGGTAGAGTGTGAGGAACCCCGCCTCAGATTGATCATTGTGATAGAGTGAAGTGGAATTTGTAGAAAAAAAGGGGGAAAAAGTAATTGCGTCTGTGTCGGGACAGAGACGCGGTGCGCCTTGGCTGTGGAATGCATCATCTATGCCATAGCCATTATCAATCTATTGCGACTGCCGCCGTCTGTCCTGAAGGGTGTCCAACATTNGAGAGAGAGAGAGAGAGAGAGAGAGAGAGAGAGAGAGAGAGAGAGAGAGAGAGAGAGAGAGAGAGAGAGATCATACCCAAATGCGTTTTTGCGTGTCGGGTTACAGTGATTGTTTTGGAGGTTGGGCGTGTGTGTGAGGTTCAGGCATATGTGCCTCCACAGTCAGCTGCCCTAAAGGTTGTGGGTGAACATATGAAGAAAGGGGTGGCCGAGCAAGAGAAGATATAATCGCCAACGTTCAAAACAGTCAAAGATGATTATAAAATTATAATAAATCTTTGTATCGCATAACTGTGCAAAGGAATGTTCAATTTTCGTTCGAATCCCTTATTGGACGAACAGACCAACCTGCAGTTGTAGCATCCAACGGAAGAGAATCGCTCATGTCAAAGCGGTGCTGAAAATTCTAGGTGTAACTGGTCATGCTGTTTGGGTAAAGGGACTGGTGTATCTGGTCTTGCTGTTTGGGTAAAGGGACTGGTGTAACTGGTCATGCTGTTTGTGGCGTCATGCTGTTTGTGGCGTCATGCTGTTTGTGGCGTCATGCTGTTTGTGGCCTCATGCTGTTTGTGGCGTCATGCTGTTTGTGGCCTCGTGCTGTTTGTGGCCTCATGCTGTTTGTGGCCTCATGCTGTATTGCAGGTTGCTGTACCGATTTATTACCATTCAGCAATGTATCTCACAGTTGGAGAACGATAAGTCGAAGAGTGACAACGAGGTGACCGCCCTGAGGAAGGAGCTTGGAGGTCTGCAGGATGATTTGGAGAAGAAGAAGTCTGAGATGAGAGAGAAGTTGATGCTCATTGAGAAGTTGGAACAGAAGGTCGATCTTGCCGACGAAGAGATTGCGAGGAATGTCAATCATGCCAATGAGCTGGAGCAGGAGCTTCGCCTGCGGAAGCATTCTACTGGTGCCATGCCTTGATTGGAGGAAAAATGGCCGGAAAAAAAAAAACAAAAAAAAACTGGACAGGTGAAGACCCTTTGGGGGTGATGACAGATTGGCTTTGATCAAAGCATCGCAGGGGATGGATACATTTTCTCTTCGAAAGGTAGGCAGGGGTGTGACGATGGACATGGAAGAGTGAGTAGAGGATGTTAAGCTGGCTGGCAGTGGGGGGTTGATATTGTTGCTGCAATCCTGGGACGGTGGAAGTGCTGGCTTATGTGAACGACAGCCTGTTGTTGTTGTTGTTGTTATTGTTTTTTTTTTGTTTTGTTTTTTTTTTGGCCTCTTTTGGCTGAAAACTCGTGAAAAGCAGCTGTGGCAAGTACTAAACATGTTTGTGTGTAGTTATTGAGTCCTTCCTCTATGCTTCTAGACAGCCACAACAGTCCTCTCCTTCCTGTGTTTCTCCTTAAACCAACTGTACCTTGCCCAGGCAAAGTCGAGAATCGAAATCGTGACAATCCGGGTTCTGTGGATGAACAGTGCTACCGGACCGAAACGGCTCGCGGCACCATCCAGAAAAGAGAAAAATTGCACCGCTGGCGGCTCTTTTGCTTTTGGCATCTAGTGCAAATCCTCGTCAGGAAAGTGAGGCTCAGATGTACTGCTGGTTCGAACCACTCTGACTGAACGCTTGCATGTGGAGGGGGAGGGGGAAAGGGAGGGAGGGGGGGGGTGCGGGATAGGGTGGTTGGAGAGGGTAAGAGGGAAAGGGGATAGGGCGGTGGTGTCTGGTTAGACCTCAAGCCCTGGTTGTATAGCTGACCTTGTGCAGGGGGGAGGTTTTGCATTTTGTTGGTGTCAACAATTTCTTTACCCTATCTGTTTTTTAAGAGAGAGCGTAGAGGTTGCCTCGATCGGCGCCAGGCTCTCCGTGAGTGGACGCCTCGCACCGAGCTATTTTATAGGTAAAGGCAGATAAGGAATCCTCTATAAGGTTTTGTTGTGTGCGTGGTGGGTAGAGATGTTGTTGACGGTCGAGGATTAAGGGAAAGTTGGATTAAGGGAAAGTTTTGACTGACAGCTGAGTCGTGTGATGATGGAATGGTGGGATTAATCTTTGCCACTGTGTTTGCTTGAGTTTTAAGGGGGTTTGCGGGAGGCACGACAGGGCAGAGGGGGAGGAGGGGGGGCCGGGGGGGAGCGGAAGGGTGTGTCCGCTGTGCTGAATGGTTGGTGGG